GCCAATATTGTACAGATACCAATCTATTTGCCCTGATTGTTAAAATTTGTGCCGCAAGTCCAAAACTAATACTACAAGCGTGTACCTGCATCATGCTCGTGTACTTTGCCATGTTGTAATCATGTTTAGGGTATCTTATGTTTTAATAAATTTTGACAAGCCAATAATTCATGTGACAATTGACAAAGATTTTGAAGCACTGATGTAGTACTATTTTTTCATGTAACCATGTTGGTGTCTAAGATTCTCAGGTCTGACATTAGCAGATAAGCAATCAGTAGAACCACTGAAGCAGCCAAACAGTCCAATACAACAACCAAAACTTAACAGAGGAAGCATAAAGAAACAAGCACATTATTAAAATACTAATTAATATGACAATGGAGTAACAATTAAGAACCCTAATGGGTTCGACCAAACAGTACTAGACTAAGATAAACCCTTACCCGAAAGCATTTTTCTGGAAAAATTAATCAAGTAAAAAATTGTAAAGATAACAACAATGAAAACAATAACTCACGGGCTCAGAGTCGAGTTTGATAGGACTGATGGTGGTTTCACCAGACAAAAGCTGGCGAAGCCTCGAAGGCAAAGTCGATCTTATATTTGGCATCTCACTTCTACTTCTCTACTTTCAATAACTACAAAAACAAAAACAATAAATAAATAAAGCATAAAACCATACCCTAAACTACGAAAATATTGATGAAGAATCGAAAATAATCAAAGCAGATCAGATATTAGATTACAATAAAATATAATAAAAAAAGGAAATTCTAATAGTTCAAAAGAACGAGAGAGGGGACCTGAGGAAGGAGATGGAGAAGAGCGATAGATGCTTACACATCCAAATTATAGAACATGAAATTCAAGAAAGTTCGAGAGAGATTTTCGAAGATAACGATGAAACAGGAAGAGAAAACCCCCAAAAGCGAAAAAAATAGCGGAGAAATAGAAGAGGGGCGGAAGCTATGATTGTTTTGATTTTGTGGGCGACTTTACATGGTGTGTTTGTTTAAGAGGAACCTCAAGGCCCAGGGATCAGAGAAAATGGAAAATTTTAGGGTCTCTGAGGAGTAAACTGAAAGGAAATAAATAGTAAAAGGATTGAAATATAAATATGTAAAAGTTTTAGTGACAGAGAACAGCGAGCAACTGACACACAACAGTGCTTTGACACTATAATTTACAGGGATCATTTTTGTAATTAGGTTTTTGTTTTTACTTTTGGTTAATACATATATGGTAATGAAATTATATTAAAATAATTTTTATTATTAAATTTATCAAGTTATTAGCAATTAATTAGTGTTAAAATAGATGATGTAGTAATATTAAATTAATAAATAATGCTTTATTTGATCATTAAATTATAATTAAATTCTAATAAAATATTTTTAAATAATAAATTTAAAAAAATAAAAAAATCATAAGAAAAAAATTTGGTTACCCTCCCGGTTCTAAGGTTTAGCCTTGATTAATTCGGACTGAACTGCATCACACATCTAACTTTGGTGGGTAAGTCTCCCAGCAAGAATTTTTTACATATACAATGACTCAAACTCGAGACTTTGCTTAAGCGATATCAAGTTGCTTACTACTTGAATCAACATTTGTTGGTAAAAAAATTAAAAAATTTAAAATATATATATATAATTTTAAAATTATAACTTTATTTTAAAAAATAATAAAATATTTTTATGACCCTAGTTGTATTACACTCCATAAACAAACTCAATGTATTTTTTTTCTTTTGCTTTTCGATTATTATTATATTTTTTTTAATAGTTTAAAATGATTATAAGGTAATATTTGTTTAAGAAATTTTTTAGTCATTAATAATTGATATACGCCCACCCGACGCATCTGTGTAAACTCACAATCTTTAAGGAGAATAACATTTTTTTAATCATTAAGGCCACTTATGAATTCGATCCATATTGCAGTTTTATTTGTGCAACTTTCCCTATTACTATATCAGGAATTAAGGAAGTTGCAAGCATTTTTAACTCCTAATATATCATTTATAACTACTAATCCCCGAGGAGAACCACCACCAAGGTACTTCTTCTACTTTAGTTAACAGTGAAAAGCTTCAGAACGGAGTCCACTCATAGTTGGGTTCTTCCAAGGATCCTGAATATCCAACCTTGTACTTCTAAATATCAAGTAAGAGGGATAAAACTGTAATCAAATCAAAAGTTTAATGACTATTTTGTAATTTAAGAAAGTTTAGTTATAAAAAATATTGTTTTAATATAGATTAGATGTATTAAAATTTCTACAATACATATTATTAATTTATCAAAACCATATAAAAATATAATAATTTAGACATTGACAAGAATAAATGTGATAAGAATGCGGATTTTCATATTCATATGAAAATGAAAGCAAATGGTGAAGTCCCTATTTATGGATGAAACAAAAAGTTGTAAAGATTCAAGGAAGACACCTAAATAATTAATGGCAAAGTTGCAATTTAAATTCTTGGATAGCCAAGGAAGTATGTGGTAAAGGAATTATTGTTATTACTTGAGTTCTCGAGTTTGATCATTAGGAATGTAAGGGGTAATGAACATTCAATGTTAAATGGTTAAAAGTTATATTTGAACAAATAATATATTGTATTTATCATCGATATAAAAAATATCACAATTTAAATATTTAAAGAGTTTCTTTTTCTTGTATTACAAACTCGAGACTTCAAAGAATAATAACAAATTCTGAACTGTTAAGAAAAGTTGATTAAGTAAAAACAAGCCTCTTTTTCATTATGAATATGTATTTTTTATTATTTTCCATTGCTTGTGGCAAGGGTTTTGGGGTCTAATACTTAATGCGTTAATTTGATTCTTATTTTATGATTTTTTTTAATTGGATTGGTATGGAGTAAGAACTGCATAATAGATGTTCTGGTTATTGTGTTTGTAATTTGCAGGTTGAATTAGTTTTATAATGGCTGGAGTCTATTCCATAATTTGGGCTTTATGTTTCTTTGGGTTGGTTCTTATAACAAGTTTGTTGCCTATAAAATAGCAATATAATTAGGGGAAATTTGGAGTACTTAGTTAAATAGTTTTATTAATTAATCATAAATTTTAATAAAAATTTATAATATATAGACCCAATTAAAACCCAAGGTATAATACCAACAACTAGTTGGTCTAGTGGGATGAGGTACTAGGTCTCTTAAACAAGGAAAGGGGTTCGAATCATGGCATTTACGAATGGAGCATCTGGATTAGTCGGTCAAAACAAAAACCAAGGTATAATTAGTCATTTTCAAAGTTCCCAAAATAGTAAGATTTTAAGTTCACAACCATGGAATACAATTCAACTAAAAGTCAACAAAAACTTGTGGTTAAAGTTTTAAATTTTATATTGTAGCATTTTGGACTTTTAAATTGAATTCATATGATGATTCATATATTTGTGTCTTCTACTACTCATCCCAAAATTAGATCAATGAACAAGTCAAGCAAGACTCAACTAACAAACGACTCAAGCAGAACTCAACTAACTAACGACTCGCTCGATAAACACCCTTACGTAAGATAAGACCAATCAACCCTCCCCTACCACGTAGTTCACAAGCCAACACATGCACAAATTTGATATAAATCACAAGGACCTAACTTTAATATAAGATCACAAGGACTCACATCATATTTGAACATGAGAACTTTAAAAATTGAATGTACCATTATCGACAAACACATAAAAATGACACCGAGTCTGAATAACATAGATATAAATAATTCTTGTCATAAATAAATAGGTTTCATCTTTTTGTTATGAAATTTTTCACCTCCATAATGTTATCAGAAAGAAAAATAAAACGAACAAAGAAAAAACTCATCCATAAAGGTTGATGGCTAACAATTAATATATATGTAATATATATATTGTTGGAAACATTTTGATGTTTTGATATAACAAATTAAGTGTTATTGAATTTTAAGATTTTATAATCATTTTTAAATTATATTCGATTAAATTATTTGAATATCAAAATATTACTTCAAGTTTTTCAATATCAATTTCAATTAGGTGTAAAATTGTGTTTTAATCTTAAAATATTTTTGAAACAAATTTTACAAAGTATTTTGAGCCTTAATCGAGCCAAAAATATTTTCTTTATAAAAGTGGTTCGAGAAAACCAGATTGCCCAGAGGGTACCGATACCCCTCCTATGGTACCGATACCCCTATGCAAGATTTGGCTCCGAAAATAACATAATGATCTATGGGTACCGATACCCCCTTATGGGTACCGATATCCCTATCCATATAACGGTTGAAATATTTGAATTTTACACTGCAGGTACCGATACCCAATGAAGAGGTACTGATACCCTACGCTCCCAACAGACTTTTTCAAGAGTGTTTTCACACTACAACGGCTCTAACATCACCCAAATGATTCACAACGTCTAGAATCAATCCAAGGTGTATTTAAACAAGTTCTGAAGCCATTGATCAATAAGAATTCATTAAGAAACAAGAGAGAAAGCATTAAACATCAAGTTTGTACATTTCACGCCAATTTTCCTTCAATATTCATTTTGCTTTCAAGAACACATTTTGTGCTCATTTGTAATCATCTTTGAGTGTTCTTTTCTTGTTCTAGAATTGTGCAAAAACATTGCCTTGTGAGGTTTTTCTGTAAGTTTGCAAAATTTGTATTGTTCTCTTTGGGAAAGAGTGCTCTCAGGAATTTGGAGTATAATTATTGAGAGCTTTGTAAGGTTACTCTTCGTCCTCAAAAGAAAGACAAATTAGTGAATTTATGGAAAATCCTTAGTGTGGATAGCTAAGGTAGTGGACGTAGACTTTGATTGAGAAAGTCAAACCACTCTAAATCGCTGTGCAATTATTTTCTATTTTCTGCAAAAGCTTCCACCAAAATTTTTATTGTCAATTCACCCCCTCTTGGCTATTTCGTCGATCGATTAACTCAACATATATCGTTCAATCTTCAATCAACCATCCCCTTACACCATCATCAAACCCCACACTGATTTGACATTTCATTGTGAGAGCAGCTTTGAGTCGCATGATACTATTTTGACTCGACCAACATTTTCCTGAGAGTCCTCGTTCTTAAACAAAGCATCCTGTAAGATGAAGGTCCAAACATTGTCACAGAATCTATAGGTGTGTAGATGTTCCTGTAGCATAAACATACAAGACAAGATCAGCATTCAAATGCAAATAAAAATACAGGCTTTTTACCTGGTAATGCTTGGTCGTATGTTGATTTAAAGGTTGTTACTAAAGAATACACAAGCCCACAAATAATGTATTTATGAATGGTGATTGGTCAAAACAAGTAATAACAAACCTATATTACTCAGACTTGAGTGAGACTCCCAGATATAAGTACATATACAGATATATCCTTATATCCATACACGGATATACTTCAAACATCGATACTTAAAAAGAAAATAAAGCCAATGCAACCAAGTAGAAAAAAGCTAAAAGTTTAGATACATAAGAAAAGAAACACGATTTAGAAAAAATATTGATGAGCAATCAGAGGAGCCATGTTACCAACTATCTGTTTTGACTGTTCTTGAAAAGTAAGGAACAAAACAAAGATACATTAACAGGTATGATAGAAATGAACTTTTTCAAACAAATAAGCTCTACACAAGTCTATCATTTCAGGTCCCTGAAAGTGTTCATATTGTAACATATCAATCTATGGGTTAGTGACTAAATTGTAAAATTTCAAAACTTGGTGACTAAAGTAGTAGAATGGAATAGTTCAATGATTTATTTGGAAATATTACCTGAAAGAGGTAAGTAATTATTAGATGAAGTGAAGGGTAAAAGAGTCTTTTATAAGGGAAATAATTAAATTAAAGAAAGGTTATTTATTAACCACGTGGAAGGGAAGAGAAATATACAAGCTTCCAGAGTTCTCTTTCTCTTCTTCTTCCTTCATGCGTGAGAACCCAAAACAAAGGTGAGTTTCTGGTTAGTTAGTTTCTTGTTAAATTTAAGATGGGTTTATGATTATTAGATGATAACTAAGCTTAAAGAAAGCTTAAGTTATCTTAAAATCAAAAGATGAAGGAATTAGAAGAGATTAAAGATTGTGAGTTTTTGAATGAAATTTTGTTATACAGTTAATAATTAGAATTGGAAGTTGGATTTGACTTGTCATCAATCTAAATAAGGAATATGAAGTGTTAAGATGAGATTTAGAACATGTTGATATTTGCGTATGATTCTTGAATTCCATATAAAAGATATGATTGGAGGTTAAAGAAGTGATTATTGAGTAAGAATGAGTGTAAATATGTGTATGAAAGTTAGGAATATTAAAGGAGGGGAAAGATGAAGAGTTGAGATGAAGAGAGAGTGAATTTCATGCTTGAAATAGAATTTATGGGTTGTGTGCATCGATGCATCTTCAATGTGTATCGATGCACTCTCAAATAAATCAACATCGAATGCAATTAGTGCATCGATGCATAAGGAGTGCATCGATGCACCTGCTTATAATACAAACATCGAATGAGATTTATGCACCGATGCATAGATAGTGTATCGATGCACCCGTCAAGGGATACATCGATACATGGTGTAGTGCATCGATACATACCTTCATTAAGAGATGAAATTAGCCTTTTTTTTAGCCTAAGAAGTGATAGTTTAGAATATATCAATTAGTATACTGATAAGTATTAATGTATTACTATGTAGATATAGAAGGAAAGCTTGTCCCGAAACAATCGAAGGATTAGGATTGATTCAAAGCAAACAAGGCTAAGGTGAGTACATGATAGTAAGTGTACGTTATGTATAGGAATTAAGACTTGCGATGAGTCTAATTCTGATATTATATGATATAAGTACTAAAGCATAAACATGTAGTGATATGGTGTTAGTTGTATGGTATATGAGTAAATGCATATGTCTAATTGTTGAATGTATCTTTATGTTTTAGCTATGTAAATGCATGTATGTATGATAATAGGTCATGTGATCATGAGATATATGATAAAATATATGTGAAAATAATATGACTCATATGTGTCTATATTATAAGGTTATATGATATGTTATATATGTGAAATGAATGATATGTTATATATGTGAAATGAATGATATGAATACATGTCAGTATAATAAGATAGATTAGATGTTATAATTGAATGAAGGGGTTGTATGATAACATGTATATAAGAACATGTGTTGTGAGGTAAGAATCATGGCTATGAACTATGTGAAAAAGAATACAAGAAAAAATGAAAAGCTATATGATAAGTGAATGTGAATTACATGGAAATATGTTATGTGAAAGTGAACTATGAGCCTACGTGAATATGTAAAAAGATGAATAATAATGCCCATGTTATATAAGAAGAGAGCTATAGGTATAGTTGGCATGCCAAGAGTCGAGGGTCTACGTGGTCCTTCGAGACATAGTGGTCCTTCGGGACATAATGGTCCTTCGGGACATAGTGGTCATTCGGGACATAGTGGTCCTACGGGACAAATTCTACGCACCCCTAGTGGGATTTATACGAGCTGTGGTGACAACATTGTGCAAAACCTCTATGTACTCACATACATTAAGTTCTCAATAGTGTGCATGGGCTTTGAAAAGAAATATAATTTGATATAATGATATGTGTGTTTCTCGTGAAAATGTATATGTGATATGTATAAGTAATAAGTTAGGATCATATGATAGTAATGGTGATAAGTGCATATGTGTAATGGTGATACGAGATATTATATGGTTATGCATGGTATGATCATAGTACTTACTCATGTATTGTTGTGTGTTGAAGTTATATTATATGTTTATGTTCAATATTTGCTCATATAATGGAATGGAATTAATGACAAGGAAATAAGTAAGGATAAACATGTTAGTGATGAGTTCAATAGGTGTATAAGTATAATGTGTATTACATAAGATGTTCATACAATTGTTAGTTTACCTTATATATTTACATGTCTCACTAAGCCTATGACTTAGCGTGTAAGTGTCTTACACGTAGGTGTGGATCAATCAGAAGAACAAGCTTGGGATTTGTAAAGCAGCATATCTCCGTGCAAAGTTCAGATCAGAAATATTTTTGTAAAGTATGTCGTGTCATATAATTTAGTATGTTGGCATGTAACTAAGTCACTAAATATGTACACTCTGATGGAGTCTGTTAAGGTTTTTGATATGTTTATGTAAAAGAATTTCTTATAGAATAGAAGTTTAAAATTTTCTATGGTTTCTTTTATAAAGTATATGCCTTGACTGGTCAATGTGACACCTCGGACTCGTATCCGGGTCGGGTACGGGTTAGGGGTGTTACATTTAATGGTATCAGAGCTAAGGTTTAGTCGATTCTAGGCTTAAACCGAAGTTAAATGAGGTTTAAAAATGTGTACATGCCAACTCAAAATGAAATTTTTTGATCTGATAGTGTAAGGAGTATGATGTCTTGCTAATAGAATAATATTTGTATGATATAATAGAAATTGATTATAGAAATTATCAAAGTGAATCGATAGGGGACAAATCTGATGGTGATAGCAATTCACCTGCTCTGGCCAGGCAGGGAGAAGAGCGAAAACCTCAGGGAATGCTTGTATAAAATTAGAGAATGTTTCATGATGTTGAATGAATGTATAGAAATAGTTAAAAGAGTTAAAAGCACTTGAGTTCAAGGGTGAATTTGAGAAAGTTCTGTTGTTACAGACCTTTGAATAAATGATATGAATATGATGTTAGATGGTTTTTATTTCTCCAAAGTGGAGAAGTTAAATTGAGAAGTTTCGTTATTATGAGAGAAAGCTAGAGTATGGTGGACAAATGTCACCATAAGAACATTAAAAGATCAAATGATGTGGTTAAAATTGTAGAAGAATTCAACAATAAGTGCATCAATGATACGTTTATAAAATGAATGAAATCAGAGTTATGGATTTAAAATAAAGAAATAGTATGGTGTATAAGCAAGAGTATGGATATGATAAGGGTTGGTATGTTAGAAGAAAGAGTTAGCGTTGGCTAACAATATTACATGATGAAAATTGTGTTGATTAGATGAATGTGATATAGTGAAGGAAATAATGATTCTTATGTTTGAGGGAAGATAAGGAATTATGAAAGAAAAGACATGATCGATGTTATAAGGATATTCTGATTTATGGAAAGTAATGAAATAAGGAAAGAAAAAGATAGAGTTTACAGCATTAGATATGATAAGGGTTATACAAGAAGTATCGAGTATAAGTTTGATATAGAAATGATAAAAGTGCGTAAAGTAATATGAAAAGATCATGTGTATTGAAGTACATACGAGGATTAAGAAATGATGAAAGGTCGGATGTATATGATTGGTTAATTAGGGCTTGTGCCCTAAATTGAGTAGTTATTATTAATTAGTTGTAATATTAAAGGTGATAGAGTTATAAGATTTGGAAAAGAAGATAAGGATTTTGTATAAGAACAAGAATTTTGGGCAATTCATACGGATTATAAGAGTTACGAAGATTGTTTGATTATATAAAGTATATGTTTAATCACATTTGAAGAAGATTTAAAGTTTGGTATTGTAATAAGGTAATTCGAGGATAATTAAGAAATAGATGGATTAATGATATGGAGTGATGAGAATAGAGGTTATTGTTTATATGATAAGTGACAATGGATGAATATATAAGGAAAAAGGTAGTTGAAGAACTAAAGGAATGAAAGAGTAAGTAATGGAAATAATATAAGAACATTAGAAGATATGTCCTTATCAATGTGTGCAATGAAAATTCGAGGATGAATTTTCTTAAAATGAGGGGAGATTTGTAACATCCCAATCTATGGGTTAGTGACTTAATTGTAAAATTTCAGAACTTGGTGACTAAAGTAGAAGAATAGAATAGTTCAATGATTTATTTGGAAATATTACCTGAAAGAGGTAAGTAATTATTAGATGAAGTGAAGGGCAAAAGGGACTTTTGTAAGGGAAATAATTAAATTAAAGAAATGTTATATATTAACTACGTGGAAGGGAAAAGAAATCTATAAGCTTCCAGAGTTCTCTTTCTCTTCTTCTTCCTTCATGCGTGAGAACCCAAAACAAAGGTGAGTTTCTGGTTAATTAGTTTCTTGTTAAATTTAAGATGGGATTATGATTATTAGATGATAACTAAG